TGCAGACTGGTGCAGGCACTGTGAAAAGCAGAATGGAGTTAACCTCATAAAATGAAAAATGGAAATGCCTTATGACCCAGCTATTCCACTTCTGGGAATATATCCAAAGAAACCCAAAACACTAATTTGAAAGAATATATGCACCACTATGTTCACTGTAGTGTTATTTAAAATAGCCAAGATTTGGATGCAGTCCAAGTGCCCATCAGTAGATGAGTGGATAAAAATCCGTGCTACAGGAGAGACAACAAGACGGTGGCACAGGTACCTGCTCCTTCCCACAACCACATCAAAATTACAACTGAAGAGAACAATCATTCAGAACCTCCTGAAATCTAGCTGAACAGAAGTCCTACAACTAGGGAATTAAATAAGAAACACACTGAGACAGTATGAGGGGTGAAAACACAGGGCAGAATCAGGCAGAATCAGGCAGAATCGTGGAAACCTGGGACCTGAGTGCAGCGGTTTGAAACCAGGAGGGATATCTCAGCGGTGGAGGTTTCCTGGAGGAATGAGGGGACCCTGCCCCATATCTGCCCCCCAGCCCAAGGTTCCAGTGCTGGGAAGAGAAGTCCCCACAACTTCGGGCTGTAAAAACCAGCGGAGACTGAGGTTGAGGGGGGCTGAGGCTGCTGGAGTCCAGGCAAATCCTCTTAAAGGGCCAGCACACAGACTTACTCAGACGCACTTGCTCTGAGCCCCAGCACTGGGAAGCAGCTTGGAAGGAACCTGGGACATTCAGGGAGGAACTGATTTGCTTGGAATCAGAGAGAGAGCTGGAAGGGCAGCTTTCTCCCAGACAAAAGAGATGACAGAGGCCATTACTCCTTTGAAGAACCCTCTTCCCACAGAGCCAGCAGGCAGGCATCTTCTCTGAATCTCCATCAACCTGACTCACATCTCTTCCCGCCCCCACCCTGGTGATTCCTGGAGGCCCCACCCCTCCCTACTTGCAAGCTCATCCAAGCCATTTCCAGTAGCTTTTCTATGCAAGTGGCCTCTCTTGCCTCAGGCTTAGGACTTTCCTAAAATCTCTCAAACAAGCAGAGCTGGCCTCAGCGTGCCCCATACCTCTCGATAAGTGGCCCCACGCCTGGAACTAGTGGCAGCCTGCATTGATTCATAGCTTGGCCTCTCCTGGATACCTCCAAGCCCAGCAAAAGTAGCAGCCATCTATGGATTGCTGTGTAGCCTACGCTGGGGGACCCTGGGCAGGGCACAGGCAAAGGCTGACTTTGCATCTCATGTGAGGCTCCAGAGACAGTGCACCTGGTGTTCAGCTTTGACCACACTGGATTAAAGCCCTACCACATCCACAAGTGACACACACAAGGGACAGACTTGATGAACACCAAAGCTCCACTGAAATAAATCCTGCTCCATAGGGGAGTCTCCAATACAGCAGCTCTTCAGCTGTAGCTGGTCCTCACAGCCAATTGGCGTGGGAGTCAATTCCTCCCAGTGACATCAACAACAACCAAAGCTCAACTACAACAGGACAGTGCACACAGCCCACACAGGGGAGCACCTGGAATGCCCAGCTCAGGTGACTGGGGAGACTGAGCTACTGAGCCCTACAGGATATCTACTACACAAAGCCACTCTACCAATTCCAAGAGACAGAGCAGCTCTACCTAATACATAGAAACAAACACCAGGAAGCAGCCAAAATGTGGAGGCAAAGAAATATGTCACAAAAGAATGAACAGAAGAAATCTCCAGAAAAAGAACTAAATGAAATGGAACCAAGCAAGCTACTCAATGCAGAGTTCAAAACAATGGTTATAAGGATGCTCAAGGAACTTAATGAAAATGTCAAGGATCTTAGTAAGACTTTTAAGGAAATTAGTGAGATCATCAATGACATAAAAAAGAACCAGTCAGAAATGAAGTCTACACTAACTGAAATGAAGAATAATTTACAGGGAATCAACAGTAGAGGATGCCGAGAATCAAATCAGCAAGTTGGATTATGAGGAATCAAAAAACATCCAATGAGACGAGCAAAAAGAAAAAAGAATCCAGAAATATGAATATAGTATAAGGAGTCTCTGGGACAACTTCAAGCGGCTCAACATTTGCATTATGGGCATGCCAGAAGGAGAAGAAAGAGAGCAAGAGATTGAAAACCTCTTTGAAAAAATGACAGAAAGCTTCCCCTACCTGGTGAAAGAAGTAGACTTATGAGTCCAGGAAGCACAGAGTCCCAAAGAAGAGGAACCCAAAGAGGCCCACACCAAGGCCCACATCATAGTTAAAATGCAAAAGGTTAAAGACAAAGAGAGAATCTTAAAAGCAGCAAGAGAAAAGTAGCCAGTTACCTACAAGGGAGCATCCATCCATATAACTGTCAGCTGATTTCTCAACTGAAATTTTGCAGGCCAGAAGGGAGTGGCAAGAAATATTCAAAATGATGAAAAGCAAAGACCTACAACCAAGATTACCCAGCAAAGCTATCATTTAGAATTGTCAGATAAAGAGCTTCACAGATAAGAAAAAGCTAAAGGAGTTCATCACCACCAAACCAGTACTACATAAAATGTTAAAGGGTCTTTTTAAGAGGAAGCTAATGAACAAAAGAAACTGACAAATTAGACCCAGAGACTATGAAGCATGAAACAGACTGTAGTATCTCAGAGGGAAGATGGAAGGGGGGCAGAGGGCAGGAAGAGATTAACCAAAGAATTTAGATGCATATATGCATAACCCATGGACACAGACAATAATGGGCTGAAGGCCTGGGGTGGGGCAGAAGCTGTTGGAAAGGGTCAAGTGGGGAGAAATGGGACACCTGTAATACTTTCAACAATAAAGATAAATAAATAAAAAATTTGTGGTACATTTACGCAATGGAATACTACTCAGCTATAAAGAAATAGGATATCTTACCTTTTGGGATAGCATGGATGGACCTGGAGTGTATTATGGTAAGTGAAATAAGCCAGTCAGAGAAGACAAGTACCATATGATTTCACTTATATGTGGAATCTAATGAACAAAATAAACTAACAAAGTGGAGAAAGACTGACAGACACAGAAAACAGACTGACAGCTGTCAGAGGGGAGGAGGTTGGGGGCTAAGTGTGAAGGGTGAAGGGATTCAGCAAAGGAAAAAAAAAGACTCATGGACACAGACAACAGTCTGGTGATTTCCAGAGCCAAGGGGCATAGGGGGAGGCAGAAGAGGGTAAAGGAGGGTAAATGGTGAGGGAAGGAGACTTGACTTGGGTTGGTAAACACACAATACAAGATACAGGTGATGTATTCTAAAGTTGTATACCTGAAACCTATATAATTTTATTAACCAATGTCAAGAGGTGTAAATTTCAGGTTTGCAAAGATGAAAAAGTTCTAGAGACCTGTTGCACAACAATGTGTATATAGTTAACGTTACTCTACTGTACACTTAAAAATGGTTAAGATGGTAAATTTTACATTTAACAATTATAAAACACTTGTCATCAAACCAATAGTAGGTAATAATCAAAATTAGAATTTCCTCCTCTAGTGTTTTGCATATAATTCAAATATACAAATAAAACTATGGCAAACAAACTCTAAACAAATCTGGGCAGATATAATATACTTAAATGTGCAGAACAACAATTGTCCACTTATATCATCAATCTAAATTCAACTGTATATTAATAACATTTGGTGTGTATTTTTAGGTGCATAACCCCTGAAATATAACTCCTAGGGAGTTTGTGTTTTAGAATGCAGAATCCTTCTGATTTCAGAAAAGTAATATAGTGCATGTATTGATTATTATATAACTCTCACAGCATCTGAGGCAGCATCTGTCATCAAGTACATGAACATTGCTGCAGCAAAATTATGAACAGTCACAAGTGGTAGGATAATTAAAGACTATAAATAGCCTCATGTTAGTTCAGGTAAGATTCGGTTTTGCTGCCAAGAGCTTTTTAGATTTTGGGATTTCAGATAAATGTATATTATGGATCCATTATCATATTTCACAAACCTTTCAACATTTTTAAGTTAGCAAGTATTGTTTCATTCCCCATGATTTCACTACCAGAGGAATTCCAAGTAGACCAAAACAGCTAATTCAAATTTACCACATGTGTTAGCATAAAGAACAGCTGTAGTTAGAATCTACTAGTTCAAAACTCAGAGATTCCATGCAAATTTTTACATGACTTTATCCTAGGCTCTTTAAGCTCAATTTTGTATATCTGTTTCTAATCTCTGCCTATACTATCCAAATGACAGCCACTAGCCACATGGCTTTTGAGCATCTGAATGTGTCTAATCCAAAGTTAGATGAGCTATGACTGTAAAGTTTAATTGATCCATTTTTATACTGATTACATGTTAAAATGATCATATTTTAGATACACTGGGTTAAATAAAATATATTATTAAAATTCATCTGTCTCTTTTTACTTTTTTAACATGGCTTCTAGGAAATTTAAAATTATATGTGTGGCTGGCATTACATTGCTGTTGGACGGTGCTGCTCTATTCTCACATTAATCATCATGGCTAAAACTAATTATAATTAAAACATTACCTCCTCTAGGATACCTCTCCTAACTAGCCAAGACTGAGGTGGACATGAGCCCTATGTATGTAATTCCATTGCTCCTTTGCTTCTATCATAGCACTATTTCATTATATTTTAATTGTTTACTTGTCATTCCACTAGGTTGAAAGTTCCTTGAGGAAACAGAAAGGATTTTTTTTTTTTTTAAATCTGGGAATATCCAAGTTATAGCACAGGCATAGAGAGAGTTTTTAATAAATGTTAAATGAATGAGACTATCCAATGAAATACTATTAAGTTGATGTGAAAAGTCACACAAAATTCTGAGACTATAAATGCCTGGAGCAATAGGCATTCATAAATTATATCCTCAGTCTTTTTTAAAAAAATCAAAGAGAATAATATTAGTAGATTTTAAAAGTTCTAATTTGTTACTGAAGAAAAAAAACACACAACAAGGTTTTAAAAATCTAGGTTGTTTTCTCACCTGAAGTCAAATTCCTAGCTGTACTTTGTGATTTCTGCATTTCAGTAGATTTAAAATTGAGATCATCCTGCATTATCTTCAGCTCTTGATTGGTGATAGAGGATATCTGTTTCATACGATTTATATTCTGTATTTGCAGAGAAATAAAAATGAAAAACATTTCACAGATTTAACTCTTCAATAAAACTCTTAGAAAACACTGCTAAAGGATTTGATGTTTTGAATGGGTGTTCTTTTTTGAAATACATCATTCATTATATATGTTTCATAGAACAATACAGTGAGATTCAAGTCCGGTTTTCTCAAAAAGGGCAGGCTAAATTAAAATTCAGAATTTAAACAAAATATTTTTAAACAACACTATTTTAGGAACTGATTCAAATCTTAAAAACTAAGAATACTGAAATGAAACCATGCATTTCTCCTCCCATGGTACCACACATCATTAGTTTCTCAATAAACATGTTATAGTGAATCAAGATACTCAGATATCTCCTACTCTTACAAGAACAGAATTCCTTCCATATATAATACAAATTACAGTGTAAGAATATATTTTAAAAACATATATTAATATCTTCCAAAATAGAATATATTTGTGCAAATGCTACTTCTAAAAGTTCAAATAAATTAACAATGGGCCCGGCTAGGTGTGGCTCAGCGGTTGAGCATCAACCTAGGATCCAGGAGATCTCGGTTCGATTCCTGGTCAGGGCACAAGCCCAGGTGTGGGTTCCATCCCAGTTGGGGGCATGCAGGAGGCAGCCAATCAATGACTCTCTCATCATTGATGTTTCTATATCTCTCTCCCTCTCCCTTTCTCTTTCTGAAATCAAAAAAAGATATATTTAAAAAAAATTAACAATGGAAGAAAATGTTAATAATTACTCTGAATTAGTCTCTCACTTAATGCTGAATATTGATATCATATACATATATATAATATTGATATATATGTCACCCTTTTCCCCATAATCCAACTATAAGATGAATTTTGCTAGAAAAACAAAAATTAATAGCTTAAGGAAATAAAATAACAAGTGAGAGAATTTTAAAGAAACAGTTTAAATGAGCAAATTTAATAGTAAACCACTGCATTTTTTGAGTCGCACTGGAAGAGGTAATCACAGTAAAGATAATGAGGACACCAGGACAGGTACATGGTACTTACCCGACTACTGTGCTCCAAAAGTGCAACAATGTTGGCTTCTATCTGTGCCTTCCGTTCCAGTTCCTGAGTTTTAGTTTCCTCAAAAGTCTCAATAAAAGCTGCCAATTGAGAAATATGATGAGAGGTGACTATTGTTATTAACACCATACAAACTCTGATTTGTAGGTCTTAAGAGTAGAAATTCAAAACAAATTTTAAACTATCAATGTTTAATATTTTACTAACCCAAGGGTGATTACTGAATAAGAATATCTCTACATACATTCAAATTTTAAAGCTTTATTGTTTTGACCTTATAAGATACAAGTAAACTAAAAATTTATGTAAGCCCAGAAGTAACAGTTGATTTAAAAAAAGATCAGGAAAAAACCTGTGTTTATGCATAGGATCTCCATGATACATCTACAATTATTAACATCTATAATTAGCCACTAACTTTACTTCTGAAAATATTACTGATTACCTATATTATCTGAAAATTAGTTTTTTACTTATAATGCTGCATTAACTTCAACTAAATAAGTTTAATAATTTATTCAGATTATAAATATTCTAAGAAATCATCCTTTCTCTTGTCTAATATAGAGCCAGTATACAATTTGCTCTTTTTTACTTTCTTAAAGTATTTCTATGGATCTTCCAAAAATAAAAACTTATAGTTAAAAATAATTTTATTGTTAGCATAAAATAAATTAATTTTTATGTAATTTTTCGTTCTTGCTGAGATTTTAAAGAAATCTCAGGATATTGGATTTTTTTGGTTTGTTTCTTTTTGTTTTGCATATGTCTTTATTGATTTCAGGGAGAGGGAGAGGGAGAGAGGGAGATACAGCAATGATGAGAGAGTCATTGATCTGCTGCCTCCTGCATGCCCCCTACTGAGGATCGAGCCACAACCCAGGCATGTGCCCTGACAGGGAATCGAACCATGACCTCCTGGATCATAGGTAGATGCTCAACCACTGAGCCACACCGACAGGGCCGGGATATTATGAAATCAGAGTTGGCAATTACTGCTTTATAGCATGTTTCTATGAAAGTAACTTGATATCAGACCTATAAAACTTCAGATTTTATAGGTCTAGCAAAATGATACTTTAAGAAAGAAACCAGGAATTGATAATACATGTCAATTTGAAAACTTTCTAAATTTACAGTATAAGTTTAAGTGAAGATCAATCTACAAAGTCAAGATTTTTTTAAAAGTGAAGAGAGGCTACAACCGAAGGCTACTAAAATTTCAGTTATTGATAGAACCAAGCAACAATAAATAAATAGTATAAAAGCTAAAAAAAAATGGTGAAAGATATTAAAGGTGAACATAGTGAAGCATGTAAAAGAAATATTCAACATTGAATCAGTAAGTGGTCTATAGACTCTCTATACAAACTATAAATGCTGGATTTAAAATCTATCCCTAACATACACTCATACACAGACATATACAAGTACACACCTTTTTAGAATTCTCTACCTATCCCCTAACTATGCTAGATATTACTTAATTCTTCAAGACAAATGCTTTGAATATCCACACTTTTGCATTTATTAGCCATTATATCTTCCCAAAATGAAAGCGCTGACTTGGTACAAATGAAGTTACCTGAAAATATATTTTCATGTCTATAAAACTACCACTTACTGTCCATATTTTCCTCCCTTTTTTTTAGCTCTTTGTACTTCTGGTTCATTTCACCTATGAGAGATACAAAATATAACATTAATTTCAAAAACTACAAATACAATGCTCTAAATTAGAAATATCTTTTAGGTGCTCCATATGTCATTAGTAGTCATTGAATATTCAGTATTTTCACTGTAATTCTTATACATTGACTTACAGAATCTTTTAGAACAGCTATATTTGTATGTTTACTATTTGGAAAAAGAAATATCCTGATTGGAAAGGACTTAAAGGCTTTCCAATGGTTCTCTATTTCAGTCCCAACTTGGAGCTATCCAGCCTACACATGAATACTACTGATGATGGGAAACATAAGCTTCCAAGAAAGTTCATTCCATATTGGAATAGCTCACATCAGCAAGCAAGATAGCAGGGTTACCGCTCCCACAGAGCTTAAAGTCTAGGTACTTAACAAATAATTAAAATTAAAATGTACTAAGTGCTGTGGTACAAAAAATAAAAGGTACTATAGACACAGCAAGGACAACTAATTTAGTTGAGGGACTCAGGAAAATTTTCTCTAAAGTAACATTTAGGCTTCATTATAAAGAATAAATGAATGAGTTACCTGGTGAAAAGTAGAAGATTAATTTAAAAGTTAAAGCATTACAAGTACAGAAATTTGAAGGTAAGGATGAATATGACAGCACAACACTAAAAGATTAGTATGGCTGAGGCAGAGAATGTAAGTGAAAAAGTGGCACAAAAATGAGGTAGGTTATAAGACATCTTATAAGACACATATTATAAAAGTTTTGACTTTCTTCTAAGGACAATGGTAAAATTACTGAAGAATTTTAAGCCGGGGAATAAAATGGCCAGTTTGCATTTATGAAAAATCTAAGATGGAGGTAATAAAACCAGTTAGGAGGTTTTCACAGTAATCTGGGTGACAGATGAACATTGCCTGGAGTAGAGTGGTGGCAAACTAGGATGTAAGGTTGTGAATATTTGTTTGAGATGTTTAAGAGCCAGACAATGGATTCTGGTGAGGGTTTAACAGAGAGGAGTAAAACATGACTCTCAGGTTTCTACTTGGGTAACTGAGGACATGGTGGCAGTATTAATTGAAAAGAGAAGCAGCAAGTTGAAGAAGTTGCTTACAACAGTTTTGGACAAGTTTCATTTAATATATGTAAAAGACATGTCTAAAAGGGCAAAAATCTGAGGGCCAGACAGCAGGATTAAATCTGACCCTTTGGCTGAATAAAGGGATCATTAGCAGAGGTGGATCATAATTACTTTATGACAACAGGATTTTCAGTGTAACCAAAACTGAGTTTTGGAGGCACATGGTATTTTCTTGGACTAGGGAGAGAGCTGCAGCCCTGCTTCCCAGGGCCCCAGGTGAGTACGCAGAGTAAATTAGTCTTTGCTTCATTTTGGGGAGACTACGGAAGCTTATTAGGATGATGGCCAGCAAGGGTGGAGGGAATAACGGGCTAGAGATTCCTAAGGGGGTCCCTAATAAGCAGCCAGTATCTAGATGGGCTGCAGGAAGGAGAGTTCAAAGAAAATGAGGGAGCCAGCAGGGTCCAGAGACAAAGCCCCAATGGTTAGCCTGTGTGCCATGTGTCCTCCTGTAAGTTACACACTTTTTCAAGTACTGGCTATAACAACAATAAAGTTAGGGGGCAGAGGAAGATAATCGGGTAGACTGCTAATTACATGGAGGCATGGGCTTCCACTTGTCTATAGACTTGCTCAGTAGGAAGTGAGTTATGAGTACACAAAGGTGAAGGTGAAGTCAGAAACCTGGGTCAGCAAACAGCTTTTTTTCTTTGTCAGAAAATATTTTCCCCAAGCTCATTGAAGATAGCCCTGATACACAGAAAATTTTGTCAAGGCCCCCAAACAGTTCTGGTAGCAAAAAGTTGAAAGTGAAAGCTACTGTCTAAGGAGAGTAAATACCCAGGTTATGAATTCCTAGCTAGGGAACACCAGAACCAACAGGGAACACTGGGTTCACTCAAGCTACAGCTTTGAATGCATAATCACTTTCTGAACTACTACTCAGTTCAAAAAGTTAGATGGTCTCAGAGTATACTGATGCAGCATAACTAATTGTGAGGGGAAGGAAAGAGAAATTTTGTTATTAATGACAAACTTTATAAGTGATTAAGTTTTTTTGTAGACAAATTAAGATTAGTTCTATAAAAATGTCACCTTTCACTTACCCATGGCAATGTATTTTGAGTGGAAAACAAAGAGAAAGAATTAGTGTTTGTAGCACACGTGATTTGGAATACCCTCATAGAAGGGTGATGTGTATGTAAATGTTATATAACCTCTGAGAAGTAGCAGGAAAGTTAGTATGTGCTGAACCTGCCATGGCCTAGGTTTCTAAGAAAGTCCTAGTTACTTGTTGTGGCTGAGAAGTTGCACTCTTGAGAGATTAGTCAGGTATTAAGGGATTAGGAGTAGGCCTGCAACCTAGGCTTTACAGGAATTTAATTCATCTTATCTTTCATCTTCTAAAGTTAAGAGAATCTCCTACACATGTTGTTTCCAGTTCTTCATCTTGCTATAACTCTAGACATCACAATGAGGCGTTGCCGTCTGCCATTCAAATGAAATTGTTCTCAATAAGATTATATGGCTCATTTAATTATCAAATCCAAGGGGCAGTTTCCAACTCTTATCTTAATCTGCAATATTTGACACTATTGATACATCCAGCCTCCTTTCAACTTTTTTCCTTATGTTTTTTGTTGGGGCAGCTTTTCTGGATTTTCTTAGTCTTTGATAATTCCTTCTCCGTCTTTTCTTTATGGAGTTCTCTTTTTTTCTTATTTAAATTCTGAGTTCTGATGTTAACTGACTTCTAATGCTATATCATACCCAAGGAAATCCCACTTATTCTTGTGGTTTAAGAACTCTCAAATTTGACCTTTTCCCGAATTTTCAGATTGTTTTATCCAATTGCTTACTACATATATTCATCCGGATACCTTTTAGGACATCTTAATACTAGTATATCCATAATGAAACTCATCAGTCTTCCCCCTCACAGTCCGCATCCCTCTGTTTTCCCTATTGCATTTGGAAGTCCTTCACCATACACTTATCATACAAGTCAGAAACCTGGAGATTCCTCCCTTCTGCTCCCCTCAAATCCATGCTCCTAGTTGCCATCAACTTGAGCTGGCAGACATATCTGTGCAATGTCTCCAGCTATATAGCTGCCAGCTGGATTAGATAGGGCAGAGTTCCCATATATCTTAGCAGATTCCCAAGCTTCATAAAACCTCCTCCCATATCACTGTTGTTAAGACGAGAGGTCAGGGCACTGGTGAACAGCACTATTTCGTGATTTCTCAGTTGGAGGATTAGTATGTGAGGGGCTTGTGAATGGCAATGTACTGATGTGGGCAGTCCTAAAGTAGGGGAATTACCAAATCTATCCTTAGATTTGCAATCACAGGAGAGGACAAGATCATAGATACAAGGAAGCTGATCAGTATATCCTACTGGAGGGGCAAACCAGGAAAGCAAAGGGTCTAGGGTAGTAAAATCAAGAATAAGGAGAGGAAAGGGACACAGGTGGTTTCAGAGCTATCCTCAAATTCTGAGTACTTGATGTGATCATGGTTGTATACAATATATTCCAAATTTACTGAGCACCTACTAGTGCCAGATACTGTAACAGGTGCTACAGATATAAAAATGAACAAGACAGCTACTAGTCTATGCTAGAAGGGCCTACAATCTATTAAGTGTTCAAAAATAAAAAGTTACAATGCAACATAAGTGCTGTAACTAGGGTATGTATAAAATTCTATGGCAGCTAGAATTCGGGTGGTTTTTACAAAGAAAGTATCATATCAGCAAGGCACTTTAATAGGTAATGTAGAAATTACAGAGACACATAATATATTTTCCTTCAAGAAATGTATACACTACTGACAAGTACCTCAAAATTTACACTATAAATACTGGCCTTTTTCCTTTAGAGGGAGGAAAGAAAAAATGGGAATAAGCTGCTACAAAAGAGCTGGAATACTGCAGAAAAGAAACTACTGCTTTTTGATACTGCTAGCCAGCCAGCAGAGTAAAGGAGACACACTCCTCGTGCACTACCAAGGGGCTTAGTACCACCACAACCACCTTTGTCCTCACTGTCAGTGTGTTCATCTGATTCTTTTAGTTTCTGCCATCAAATGATGCTCTCTTAACTCAGGGCTTACAGAGCTATCTTTACTCTTATACTCTGAGAAGTAGTTCTGACCCTAGAAAAGGTCTGATTGCCATTTTCCAGAACAGGTAGCTACCCCAAACTTCTTTCCTCATCAACACCCAAAGAAGGCACATGCTAGTGATTCCCCTGGCCTCAAAACCCCCAACTTGGCAGGCCTACTGATTTTGGAGGTGAAAGGGGAGCAGAAAGCAAATAAAATTAGAGAGGTAGGGCAAGAATAAACCCCAAGGGACTTTTACACATCCAGGTTCTTTCCTTTCCAGCCCTTGGGGTCCGTCTGAGGAAAGCTAAGTCTCCCAGTACCTTTGAGTGCTCCTTACGTAGCATGGTTTCATTCTCTTTATCATTCTGTTCACTCTACTCAGTGAGTTCCAGTTCTTCTTTATCACTTTTAAATATGATGCCAAGAAAATTAGGATTCCAAGGAGACTATCAATTCCCATAGTTTACATATTCATCTTTCTGTTAATGCAATCTAGGAGTTCAGCTGTTTTAGAGGCTATATCACACTAATTCATATTGAGCTGTTACCTGAGTCCCGTCTAACATTTTCACATAGTTTAGCAAGTCAGGACACTTCCTCCTCCCCCACTCCTACTTTAATTTTAATTAGTTTTGAGGTCCTGTGAAATTCCATCCCTTTACATTGTCTCTCTCTCCCACCTACTTTTCACAGATCATTATAGCAGTAAATAATAAACTAGTTTATCAACTACTATTAGACTGGTATGTTTAAATGAGTACATATAAATTAATTGTTTTAAAGTAACTTTTGCCTTTAGGTTTAACCCAACTTACCAATCATACATTCTCT